AAAAAAAGAAGAAAAGAAGAAGAATTTTCTTTATACATTATATCTGTAAAGCATTTAACTCATTAGATTATATACAAAAAAATATTATTGTTAGTACTGTCCAAAAAGTTGGGTTGGTAAGATGTTTTAATGTCTCTTCTGCTCACCAAGGCTGCATTTATCTGATTAAAAATACAGTGAAAAACAGTAATATTGTGAAATATTATAACAATATTATTATTGTGAATTTTTATTATTCAAAATAAGTTTTCTACTTTTAAATATATTTTTAAAAAACAATTAATTCCTGTGAGGCAAAGCTGAATTTTCAGCATCATTTCTCCAGTCTTCAGTGTCACATGATCCTTCAAAAATCATTTTAATATGATGATTGACTGCTTACTATCAATATTGAAAATGTGATATATTTTTAGGATTCTCTGATGAATAGAAAGTACAAAAAAACAGCTTTTATTTGAAATATTGCTGAATCAATTAATTGCGTCTGACAAAAAATGTGTAAATATAATAATATATATATACAGTATATATATATATGTGTGTGTGTGTATGTGTGTGTGTGTGCATACAGTATATAGTACATCCATAAATACATGAATATATATATATATATATACTGTATATATACAAATGAGTGTATATACATACACACAGACACACGCACACAAACATATATATATATATATAACTTTTGTTAGTTGTGATTAATCGCAATTAATCAATTTGATAGCACTTATATATATATAATTAACTGTGAAATAATATATACAAAATATATATATAAAATAAATATTTTAGTCTTTGCTGCAACTTATGATCGATTGAATGTATTTTGTTGAATAAAATAATTAATTTCATTTAAAAAAAATTTTTTTTTAAACCTTTATATTCATTTATTTTTATTTTTATTTTTTTTCGTAAAAAATTACTAATTCATCCACCAGCACTGGGAGTGACAAGTTTGTCTTCTTCGGATAAAATGGTGCAGAAGATATAATTCTTTCCCTGCAGGTGCATTCTACTGACATCATCAACACAAGACGTGACAACCCAATTAAAGCAACTACAGTAAGAGCTTGTTATGTCAGGTTCGAAAGCTAAACTGCAGGGGAATTAGAAGTTCTTAAACAGTGCTTAAACACACAGCTCCCTGAAGCCAGGTTGAAAAGAGCGAACGAGGCTGGCGGTGATCCAGGCCTGAGAAAAAGGCCTCCGACATGTTTCGATAGTTTACAGAGCACGGCATAAAAGGATGTGTCAGAGAATATTTCACGGGCGAACACCTGTATCTCTGGAAACTATTTGGAGGAGAAATGGTAAATATGCTGGATAGTTTACATCAAAAATCCGATTTAGAACTGTATGGGGACTGACGGCATACATTTAGAGTGCTATTTATTGGAGTGCCTTAGAATTGAAACCACGTGTCAGGACACTTTAAAGCTCAGTCGCTGTTCTTCAAAGGGAACAAAGACAGAAATTACCCTTGCCTGTTCCACTCCACCATGCTGATAACTCATAAGAACACACATGAGTCCCATTTAACACATGCTTGAAATCTATTATACGGTAAACAAAGTTTTTTCCCCTTTCTGTGCCCCTTCAGTCCATGTTTCAAACACCTCTTGAAACCATTTTGACTGCAAATCCAGCTGTTAATTTCTATTTAGTCTGAGCTCTGATTATCGCCTCTCAGTTCCCCTTCACCTCTCGATCTCGGGGTATTTGCTTTCACAGTGCTGCCCCGTTTCTCTTGTTATTCTTCAGGTAATCCCTGGCTCAAAGGAGGAAGTCCCAGGGTCATCACTAATAACCCCCTCAAGGCTGACACCATAAACCCCTCTGAAATGCCCCAGACGCTTGTGGGAAAGAGGGCAGGTGGACTTAAATCCCAAAGAGAATGGTGTCTTGTGAGGGTCTATACGGCAAGACAGCAAGTCAAGTTTTTCCTTTTGTTCAGTTCTTGAGTTTCAGGCCAAATGGACATTTTTTCCTGTTGCGAGACCGTGTTGGCAGATGTTGAAATCTGAAAGTTACAGCCAATTTTAAAGTACCTGACGGTTCCTGATAAACATTTCAAAGCTTACGGACAGAAGTTGGGAAGCAGCTTTTGATTTTACAATGTCCACATAGACACTGCAGCATATTACGGTCGTCACTGCTCTCTGGAGCATTCAATCTCTTTCTGTACAACACAGAGTTTGGCTATTTACAAAACTGAAAAACTCAACCTATCAATATAACCTTGGTTCTGAAAAGTAACAGTTTGTCTTTGTGACAGCTTGTCTGTGGTGCAATGCTATGAAAAAATAATCACATGTATATCTTGGCCTTTTCAAATTTATGTTAAAAATCAGTTTGATAAAAACTGAAAAATACCATTCAAAGGTTTGTGATCGTTAAGATTTTATGTTTTTAAAAGAAGTCTCTTATGCTCACCAAGGTTGGATTGACAGTAAAAACAGTAATATTGTGAAATATTCTCACGACTTAAAATTTACTGAATTGTCTTCAGTGTCACACGTTCCTTCAGAAATCCTTCTAACATGCTAATTTGGTGCTTAAGAAACATTTCTTATTAATGTTTTAGATGACATCCATGTTCTTGTTTACAACCTTGAGATGCCAAACTGTTTCGATGGCTATCACTACTTCAGCCATCTCAAATACAAGATGTAATGCCTGTATTTTGTACACACACACAGAACAATTTACTTTTCAATTATTCTCTTGTGTACGTGGCCTAGTATAGCCTTGAGTATAAGCCAATAGTACAGATCACTTGGCTTTGAGAGGACCAGCTTCTCCTACCCAAACACTGTCCTTTCTAAAAAAAAAAAAATGGTACAGTACAAGAAATTGGATCTTCATTAAAGGGCACAAGACAACCTGTTGTATTTAAAGTATGAAGCTAAAAGTGTGTCAGGTGTCTGGAGAACATCAGAGTCCATGAACCTGGCTTGCTATGTGGCAATTGACCTGAATAAACATCTGGTTAAACAGCATGAAACGCCAGTTAGTTTAGAGAGGGATCGTTTACACAAAAATTATAATTACTCTAAAGACATTTCTAAACCTGTGGAATAAACTATGCAGAACACAAAAAGTGAATATTTAACCATGCAGGCCACTATTTTCTATTGTCTATTTTTAATTAAAGTGAGGACAGGGGCAGACAAGCAAGTACCATAAAGTGGTCCATACTGCATGAGTCGTACACAACTAAATAGTCTACTGAAGTCATATGATTGCTTTCTGTAAGAATGACAAAAAATTATAATCCTTCAAGTCAATAATGGCTGAAAATTCAGTCTGTTTGTGATTCTTTTAGGATGTCCTTCGTTCTTGAAGCTGAAAACTCCAGTACGGTGGCCGAGATAGCTCAACACACTGCAACTGTACAAAAGACATGCAAATGGGAAAAAAATACACCAGTAAATTACAAAAACATCTTTGTGATTGTTTTCTTCAATTGTTGCGTGTTGAGCTCTCTCAGCCACCGTACTTCAGTTCCCATTTATTAGAAACACATTACAAAGTTACTTTAGCATCCACGGAAGATAGAAACGTTATTAAGAGTTTGTAATGATGTGAGGGTTAATAAATAAAGACAGAACTCATCTTCTCCAAACTCATTTTAAATTGCTGAATGATTTCATGGATTTTTTTAAAAGATCGATCTCAGCTTTATCAATAATATCCTGTCTGACGGCTTGGTTTTAAATACTACAGGGATGTGTACTGTCTCCAATACTGTTCTCATTAATGAACTACAGTATGACGATGATAATCTTTTCCTCAAAGTATGCTGGTAGTATTTCATTGGTTTCCAATCAGAAGGAAATGAACAGCGCCTCATAAATGAGTATATCGATAATCTTATCTGTTGGTTATTTTATCGTTTTATTGGTAAAAAAAAACACGAGATTTTGAGATTGAGATTTTTAAAGACCATACACACTCTTCACTTCTTTTTAGCTTTTGAAATACTCCCATCTGGGCACAGACTCACGTTCCTTTGGCCAGAAGACATACGTATAAAAAAAGCGTTTGTCCCAATGGCAGTGATTATTTCTGAGCACATCATTATCTGAAGTAATGTTAAAAGAAAGTCAGTTTAATGTAATTTGAGTTGAATTGACTTACAAATTTAAGGCAGCAACTTTATTTTTAGTGTACACCATTCCTTTTAAAAACATCTTCAAAATGGAAATATTAAACACTAAGTTGATCTGTCCTTACAAAAAGTAAAAGTTTGCTTCACAAGAAAGCTCATGGCTTCCATGTGTATACTGTACTGCACATATTGTCTTGTAATGACTGGTTCTCATGAATCAGTAATGAGTGATGTAGGTAACTGAGACGGCTGCCTTACAACACAGAGGAAAAAATTATAAAAGAAAAAAAAAAACCAGTCAAGCGCTGACAGTTTGTGCAGACTTCCATGATATGAAAAATATGGAAGGTATGTCTGACCTGATGCTACAACCTCACCAGTGTATGACTGAGGTAATATGAGTCATGTGTGAGTAGAGGTTTTGTGCATGTGTGCTGCAGCTGAAAGCGCTGCTATGGCCCGTATCGCAATGGTAACCTGATGATCCTGAAGTTTAAAAGGAGGGAGACCCGTTAAGCCCCCAAAGAAAGGACAAATGGGATTGTTGGTTACCCCTGAAGACTATGAACTAAGCTAATCCTATAGGTATTGTCATAAACTCTCCTACATAAAATTACATGCATGCACTTGTAAAATTGTGGACTTTTTCTGTATAAAGTACAGAGAAGAATAGTTCAGATAAAAACAAGATATGATTATGCACAAGAATGTTAAATTAATCAGTCCAGGTCAGAGTTTAGGTCTAAAGCTTAAAAGTGGACTAAGGTTAAACTAAAAAATCAATATTTGTTTAGTTATTTTTATGGGAACAAAGACTATACAATTTATGGACACAACTTCACTTCTAAAGTATTATAGGCATGCATGTGTCAAACTGTCCTACCTCTCTCCTCCTCTTCTTCACTCTCTATTGCTTCAGAAAGTTAATCAGATGATGCCTTGATTATATATTTCTGTTTAAATATTCCAATATTAAAGCTCCAATGCTTAATCCTGAATTGGGGAAACAGAATGCTCTTGTCATCCAGTCCGAAGCAGCTCCAGTTGTTGAGAAATTGATTGCTGTGGTAGTTAGAGCCAGAAGTCCCCAGTCTTAGTTCCTCCTCTGTGGAAGGGAATCCACAGGTCCTAAAACCTGACAGGTTTCAGATTATAGTTTACTATGGAAGAAAGTCATTTTTAATTCTTAAAGGGACGGTTCACCAAAAGAAAATTACATTCATTAATTATTTACTCACCCAGGTTGGTCAAAACCTGCATGATTCTGAGGAAATGTTCTGTGGAAAGTCAAATTTGCTCCTTTCCATGTAAGAAATATGGTAATTTACACCACAACACAAAAAAGAACAACAAAAGTAGTTACACCAACTCTTTTACAAGTCTTCTAAATAGGATATACCATTCAGTAGAGGAAAGGATTGAAATTCTGAATGTTAAGAAAACAAGTCACCTCTACGAGCCATTAAAGGGGTCATGCACTGGCTTTTTAAATTTTATTATATTGTTGTCTGAGGTCAACTTATAACTTTTTGCATTCAAAAACATCTAAATGTATAAGTAATAGGCTATTTTCTACCCTAGTTTTAAGCCTAGTTTAAAAATGCTCGGTTTTTATGGGCGTCTCGCATTGAAGACTTGGAAGTAAACGCCCACTGCTGTGAGTGGATAACGGTTTTGCATATTATAATGAGTTTCAACTCACCTCGTCGGTGTATGTGGGGGAAATTGTTCTGAAAATGTCCAATGTTGTAAAATGGCAACCGGAATGATTCGCCTATACATGTTCGACCCAGAGTCCGTGTGTTGCACCATTCCTGTCAGATCCAATATAGACGGCACAGCACCGTTCTTTACACTTAATCGGTCTGCAAATCCAGTCTTGTTTACAAACAACAATCCTTTTCTCCATTCTGGAACCAGATAGAGTTTGCGTTCCTTGCCACCGTCGCCTCTGATTTTCTTATTTGGGGAGACTTAATATTCAACAATATTATTGATCTGACTGTACTGTTGTATGATAACATTTTTTTGCAGAGCTGCTTTATATATGAAACAAACTAATTTAATAACAACGGAACTGAATCAACACTGAACTGAATTCAGCTGAACAACAGACGAAATGCATCATTTTCCTATTATCACTGTAAATCACTGATTTGAAACAACCCATATTGTATAAATCGCTAACTAAATAAAGGTGACTTGATTTTGGCTCATTTTATATTTTTTTTTATAATGGTTTTTATAATTTATGATTAAAATAAGGTCTGTGGTAAACATAACTTGGCAATAGTTTGATGTTTTGTTCTACAACATAAAGTACACATACACTCACAACCCAAACGTTCTTATCTAGTTCATTATTAGAGGCATATATATATATTTTAAACCATAACAGCCCCTCATGTTTTCGATATTGGTGCATGTAATTTATTCTGTTGAATAATTGGCAAGTATTGTCAACTCATCAATTGAAAAATCCATTATAAAACCCCATTGGAATTGCATAGCAGACAAATTAGCTAATAGCTAGTGACTAAGGTTTAAAACATCTATACTTAACCTGTCTCTCTGTTTGAAGCATGGAAATGAAATTTTTTCCCCAGCTGGACCTTTGAGTCTGCATATGTTTGAGTTAAATGTGACTCAACTAGTTGAAACCCTGTGATTTGTGTTTGTTGATGAAGGATCGTGAATAGCGCATACCTCTTAAAATAGCAAGCTGAAGACCAAAACAACACGAAGAGATCACTGGTATTTCACACGTGACACCATCGGTCACAAATCTAGCGCCGTTGCCTTAGATAGACCGCATGGTAGACATCACCTGAACATCACAGAGAGAAACAGAAATGTTGAATAAATGCAACTCATACAATGTTGCGTGAAATGACACACAGATTCACGGATTCAGAGAGGTACTCGCACAGGATTTCCAAAGTCTTTGTTGCATCCTGAGGTAATTCCAAAAATGAAACATATTCATAATGAGGTTTCTTTAACAGATGCACACTAACTGAAACATTCCAATGCAAATCAATCCTTGTTAGCTCAATGACATTTTCCAATGTCCAGATTCGTCAAGGCTCATTTGCACAGTGATGAAGCTGCCCAACAACACATGTTTGTTTACATTTCGGGGCCAATCAAAGACTCATAAACATGTGTTTTTCCATCTGAAGAGGGAGTTGCAACACTCTCTAAAACACTGCATTTCAAGGCAAAAGGAATGGAGACAGAAAATATTTTATCATTTAAAAAAAATCCATAAAATGCAACAACATATTTAACTATTGAATAATAGTTGCTCGTCTTGGCACGCACCTCTAATAAAATTAACTACTGGATTGTACTGCAGATATCCAGCTCAGTTCCTCATTGATCAAGCCGCACAGTCCATTTTTATAAGCCAAGCTCGGTTGTTTTATTTATGAAGAATGTGGCAAAATCGTCAGCAATAAGAATAGTTATTATTCTGTGGCATTTTTGGAACCTTTATTTAAAAGTTTTGGATCCCATTGACTTATACTGTTTGAAACAGCATTAATGTGAGCAAACAATGGCAGAATTTTCATTTTTAGGTGCACAATCCCGTTAAGACGTTTATTTTCCAGCAGGGATGTTTAAAAAACATAGCAAACCTGAATCTAATTCCTGAAAGACATGCATTCATCTTTTATAATACCCTATTCAGCCAAAAACTATTAAACTAATTAACTAACTAAAAACTAACAAAAACTAATTATTTTCTTCATAATTAAATGGAACTATAAAAAACAATGATTGGTTGCAGATTCTTCTTCATTCTAATCAAAAATCAACACTAATCCTGAACTTGTATGCTCTTATATACAACAAATTTTGCAGGTTTTGTATCAGACCAATCTATTAGCTCCAGTCATTTGCCATAGATGTCTTTGGAGGTGTGTGAAAAAAGTAACTGAACATACTGTTTCTCTAACAAAGTCAAATTGCTTTGCGTCACGTATACGGATCTCAAAAGCCACATCTCTTTTTTTATGCACATATTATGTGATATGTAGGAAGCAGCTCAACTTTCACAGTTTTCAAGATAAGTGCAAACAGACCTTTTTTGATGGACTAAATCTGTTCGCATTTACCGTCCACCTCTGACTCGCAGTCAGATGAAAAGAATTACAAGATCATTTCCTATTAATTTCCCCCTCAAAAAAACACCCAGAATGGATGAAAAATAAATTCCTTGGTTGTTTGAAATTCTTTCATGAAACTAATCAGTGAGGATTTTGAATCAAGCATGAAAGAAGGATTAATATCTTCAAAAGACTTCAAAGGCAGTACAGTAGCGCGCGAGGCAATAAAAAGGGAGGAGTAGTAAAAAAATAATGTAATAACCGCAGGCCAGAACACAATGGAAATGGCAACGTAGATGACAGAACTACTAAAGACTTTAATTATAGTCTTGACAAATATAGCAGACAGTTCGGTTTCAGAAAATTCAGGTAAAGCTAGGATTGATTATAATTCACACACTTACTGTACTGGAATCATAAACGCTATGGGGAAACATGCCACTGTGTGATTTCCACAATCCTGCTACAGGAAAAATCAGAAATGGGGATTTTTCAGCTACAAATACTTTGATTAATCATTTTCTAAATCATTATCATTTATTAATAATACATAAATACTATTATTCTTATTATATTGTACAACTAACCCTGTCCATAAACCTGCCTAGGTTTTCACATTACCCTGATCTTGCTTTGCATGCAAACAGACTTTCTGTCAGCTTATTCAAAGTCTAAGTTTTGACGTCAAAACTGGAGAATACGATGATTTCAAAGTCTCGTGTAAATGCCTTTCTTATGGCTATCAGCTTTCTTTTATACATGCAAATGCACTCAAACAGGACCCATAGTTGGAAAATGACACAGACGTACTGCAGCAGCATATTGATCTCAACAATACTATTTATGTAACTCAAACACACAGCAGTGTGAAGAATAATGATCTTATGCACCCCCAAACTTGAGATGAAGAGTGGCTAGAAAAGTCATATCCTCTTCCTCTCTTGACGCGAGTATGAGTCAACTGTTATTCATAAGATGAGAAGAAAGTCTGATCAGCTCTGCAGCTTCTCAAGACTCCGCTATACAGTCAGAGTGAAGGAATTCACACTCCGAAGACCAAGAATCTGCTGCCAAATAACCCTTTGACCTTTTTTTCTTGAGCCATCAGGACGAACATCATTTCGCTTCTGACACATGGAAAGACAGTATCTGTGTTGTGTCAGAAGTAAAGGTCGATTTCCATGCTGGATTTCAGTTCCCTGAAAACAACATCATGGATGAGGAATTCGCAAAATCCCGCCATTTTATGTTCTTTGGAACAGACAACAGCCTCTTTGAAAATATTGACTTTGAATGTGTTCGGTTGATTACATCAATGTGAAACTGCCAAAAACCAGGGTTTAGTGCTGTAATTGCGATAATGACTGGAAATCTATGTGAACTACTTGACATATATATATATAATTAACAGAGCAATGCATTTCGTCCATGTTCTATATTTGTTTTGTTTTTTTGAGATCTAGTGCTTGTAGTCTTTACAGAAATCCCCCTCTCTTACAAATCCTCATACAATGACGTAAAATGATGATTTTTACGTCATTGTAGGAGGAAGTGAAAAAGGTAAATAGCAGATTTCTCTCGTCTCAGGGGATAATGAGAGAGTGTTGCACGACCATTCAATAGTATGACTGGATTTCTAACAATGGAAATCTTAATGCAAATGGGTGGAGTGTCCCTTTAAGCCAAAAGTGTTTTTCAATTCATCTCAGCATATGACAATTAAAGCTGAAGTCTGTAAATTTCCCTTTTTTGGTTTGACCCGAATGAACCTATTTTGGACTATTTGGTGAACAATGGAAGACAGACGGAAGACTAAAAAAAATCTGTAATTTACCCACCTTTCATGTTGCTTGAAATCTGTATGACTGTTTTTCATCTGTGGAACACAGAAGAAAATATTTTGAAGACTGTAGAAATATTACACTATTCCATATACTGTAAACTAGATGCAATTGATTATATCTTCGAAAAGATTTTAGGGAGATGTTTTCTGCATTTTCTGGATGAAAAACCCATCATCACATTAAGTTCTCAATGACCTTTAATATGAACAAAACCGGCAGCTATACTGTTGCTCTATATGAATATGTAGCATAGTTTGAACAGAATTAGCATTTTTATCCTGAGGGGGAATAGTTTTTTTTTTATTCCGCAATAATTGAATTGACAGTCTGAACATGCATGGCATCCTTTGTTCGTTTTCTTCAATGTAGGCATTATTTCCTGTCGAGTTCAGTGCTTCTCAGACAGAAATGTCTTTATCTTTCATATGAACGGCTTACAAATCCTTGAGAGGTTTTAAAAGAATAAAATATAACTGTTTCAGTTTCGGGCGTTACACTACAGTAGTTATATGGGTCATGC